GTAACTCTATACCTTAACTTGTCTTAGGCTTAAAATAAGCAATTCTAGGCCTAAAATATATATTACTTTAGGCCTAATTTAGTACATGTATGTGTTATCCTAGGCCTAAGAAAGTTTAATTGTGGTTGTTTCCTTCTTTCTCGTCTACTATTAAAAAAAAAATAATACAGAATGTAATGTTTTTTTTTTTTTATCAGTAGTCCAATTGTAAACGTTGCACTGTAGAGTACATGTCGGATAACAGATGCATTTCCCAGCCTTAAGATGATGCAAATTTCCTGAGAATTAGTGATATATTTCATCAACTTGACAAGGGCAGTTAAAATGCTGAAATACATATATATATATATATATATATATATATATATATATATATATATATATATATATATATATATATATATATATATATATATATATATATATATTTTCATATATATATATATATATATATATATATATATATATATACACATACATATATATATATATATATATATATATATATATATATATATATATATATATATATATATATATATATTAATGACGTCAGATAAATAATTTTAAAAGCTGTTGAAGCCTTTAACAGAACGATTGAAATCCGACTGCTTGTTTCACGTGTATTGGACGTGATAAAAACTGGTCACAACGAGCAGCCATTAATGGATTTTTGGTCAGTTAAGGTCACCACACTTCACCCTTGGGGATCCTCGCTGGCAGATACGAGCGCTTAATACTTATTGTGAACAGTAGGGGGGGGGGGGGGCTAGGAGGTGGATAGGAGCAGGAGGGAGAAGGGGCCCCTACTGTTTTGTTGTCACTGTGGTACGGGTCAGGAGGACCATGGCAGGGCTCACCCACTGTTAAGCACAGTGTTAAGGGCCAGAAATGCATAGTAAGGCCACCCACTGTACAGTGATCACAGTGGTAGGGTTCAAGAATATACCATTCCAGTGCTGTAAGTATATTCTGGTGTATGCTCGTATGTTTATGCTTGTGTTCAGTATGTTAAAATTATAGATCAATAATAGTCATGAACAAATCCACAAGGGCCGTGACGAGGATTCGATCCTCGTCACGGCCCTTGTGGATTTGTTCATTAGATGCATCACGTTAGTGTGATCTCTGTGTGCAATAATAGTCATGCTTCAGTCTCTCTTCTAAACCTCCGTATTGGGAGAGAGAGAGAGAGAGAGAGAGAGAGAGAGAGAGAGAGAGAGAGAGAGAGAGAGAGAGAGAGAGAGAGAGAGAGAGAGAGAGAGAGAGAGAGAGAGAGAGAGAATAACAATAGGACAGGTTAATAAACCCTGCTTAATTCGAGAACTGCCATTGAAGCCCTGCAACAAGAACCCTAGCAACACAACAGCCATCTGAGCACAGGTGTTATAGCGTGAATACAAAGACTCCAACGCCGAGGTCGTCACGGGTGGCAAGTCATGTAGGAATACCAGGGAATGACATTGCAGATGAAGCTGCAAAACTTGCAGCGAAGAGGAACAATGCCACAAAGTCTAGCACATATTATAGAACTAATTAGAGATGGAGCAACCCAGTAGAATGTTCGGTGACCAAAACGCAAAATCAGGATCTGTGGGTTAGTTCAAGATTTCAAGTCATGATGAACCACTTAATTTGATGAAATGGGAAAACAGGAGTACATTTACATTACATCAGGCTTGGATACCCATGTGCATGGGAAACAGTCTTGCAGGTTCCAGAAGATGAGAGGAAATCAACATTATGGAGAAATGCCCGACAGACCACTGGAACATTATCCAATTTAGGATTGAATTTACAATTGAAATAAGATTTTAATTGAGATTTTACAGTGCAGAAGTTGGTAAACACGTTAGACATATCTTACTTAAGCCAACATTCGACTCATTAACCCTTCCTCCACCGTCAAGTTAAGACAGAAATGAGTAACACTTAGTAAACCAACCAGAGACTTAGAACAGGAAATATCTCAATAAAATAAAATAAAATAAAATAATATATTATATTTACATTTAGTCTCCAACACCACCTGCTGTCATAATTTCGCTACTTAACTGGCCTCCTCCCTGGTGTCCTTAGACAGTCCTAGTCTACGGAGATCAAATTGGCTCTCTCACATTACCGACCCAATGTTAGTCATTCCATAACAGCACCCACGTTCCTCACGACTCCTTCATACAAACCTCACCTTCAGCACCTCCAATGGGAGGTATTGTCCACCAATATTAAAGGGATGTTACCATGCCAAAGCTCGCTTATTGACTTGTGTTGGGGGTCGAGATCAACACCCGCTACACCCCCACCATCGTTCACCCAGCATGTCGGCTCGGCCCACATCTGTGGCACTCTCTCTGGCATCTTTTCAAGTCACACCCACCCACCCCCCTCCTCTCACCATTGTGCTTCAGCCTACCTTATAACTACTTCTAGACCATTGGCTGGCTTCTGGTCGCACCGAGTCATTCAAGTTGTCGCCAACTTGTCTCATAAACGAGGAAGCGTCAACCAGGCCATTGGTATAGCAGCACTCATTACATGCTTCTGCCCCGAACTCTTGCTTGGAGAGAGACGTTATTCAGTGTGTTCATATCTTTTCAGGGCTGAACAACAGGGCCACACACACTGTTGTTCACATAACCATTCCTTACTCACTTTCCTCTAACGCCCCTTTTCCAAGAACCACCTCTCACTTCCGTTTGTTATTGTTTTAGATTTAGCTACTCAGAATGAAATACCTATGTAGCACGGGCTATGGTGAGCCCGTAACTCTCAGTTCCTTCTCCCCCCCCCACCCCACCCAAGCCCCCCCCCTTTTTTTTTTTGGGGGGGGGGGGAGTAAAGAAGAAGGAGAGGCAAAAGTGAAGGGAAGTTTAGAAGTGGGAAATACAGTGAGAGGTATGAAAGCAGGCGGGGTGTCCGCCTTGCTGACACGATGTGTGGGTGTTGGCAGCTAAGCTAAGCTGGCTCCCTCTTGTCAGGGAGCTGTGAGTGTGTGAGAGGTTCTTCACATGTGTTTCACCATATATGGATGTCTATAGATGAATACTGTGTAGCATTCATATATACACACTCCGATGCATCCGCACATTTTCTGTTTAAGGCTATTTATTTTATTATTTTTTATTGAATTATTCATACATACACATTTCTATATATATGCCTTTATACATATGCATATACACAACTATACACATATACACATACCTACACACATACATACTCAATTTTTCCAATTATTGGGGGAAAGATTTCTGGTCAGTATTTCATCTGGGAATTATATACTGTGGGGCGGGGTTTTCATCTATTAATCGAGGCTCTTGGGCCACCAGCTGTGGGAGCGGGGCGTCTCATCTTAGAGCAATCTTTCTAACATTGGGTCCTCTAACATTTCGATGGTGTTCCACACCCTGATGGCTTGGTGCTGCTGTCTGATGTTTAGTGGCTCTATGTTCAGAAGCTCACGGAGCTCTTGGATTGTCTGATGATATGGTGGACGGTGTTTTGCTGCTCTCCTTGGCGCCTTATTTTGCACTGTTTGCAGTTTCTGCATGTTAGTTTTCTTTATGGTGTGTAGTGGTACTGGGGGATACTCTAGATGTGGCCGAACTAGAGCCTTATATAGGTGGATCTGAATGTTCCTCCTGTCCAAAGAATCTTTCTTTCCCTTCACCACCGCCCCCCCCTTCCCACCTCTCACCCCCCCCCCCTCGTATCCCCTCCAAAACTCCACCCTCTCCCTCTCCCAAATCACCTCTTCCCTCCCTACCCCTTCCCCCCCCCCCCCTCTCTCCCTCACCCCCACCACCACCACTTCCCAAACGCCTCAATAAATCTGGTGCAACCAATAGAGTTGTTAGTCAGAATTTTAATGCTATTCAATTTGGAACCGGCATTATAATACTCATTAGCCAGTTAGATGAGGAAGCGAGCCGAATATTGAATGTAAGAACTGGCTTAATTGGCAATCGGCTGCTTAACTCTCACAAGGTTTATCTCCTGTCTAAACTATTCCTTTGATAATTTTCAAGTTATATTTAATACCGAGTCTCATTACAAAGTAAAAATAGAATTGTATGTTTTATTTTATTTTATTTATTTGCCTATAATTAATATCGAAATGGCTCAGAGAAGAGTTATCGAAGGTTTGTGTACGAGGTAATTATGGCAGTGTGAGTTAATAATCTGTGGTGATTATAGAGTCCTTTGTTAGTTCTCAGGGGGGTTGTATAATGGCTGTTAGGAGATGATGTCAAGTGGGTCTTGTAGGTCTAGTAGTAACTGCCGCCTTGTTTGTCCTTGTTTGCTAGATGCTTAAGGTGTTAGACCATAGTTAACACGCACTTACACCAGGGCCTCCAGGTGGGCCAGGAGACAAGTGCCTGCCTCCAGGTGGGCCAGGAGGCAAGTGCCTCCAGGTGAGCCAGCAGACAAGTGCCTCCAGGTGGGCCAGGAGACAAGTGCCTCCAGGTGGGCCAGCAGACAAGTGCCTCCAGGTGGGCCAGGAGACAAGTGCCTCCAGGTGAGCCAGCAGACAAGTGCCTCCAGGTGGGCCAGGAGGCAAGTGCCTCCAGGTGAGCCAGCAGACAAGTGCCTCCAGGTGGGCCAGGAGACAAGTGCCTCCAGGTGGGCCAGCAGACAAGTGCCTCCAGGTGGGCCAGGAGACAAGTGCCTCCAGGTGAGCCAGCAGACAAGTGCCTCCAGTGGGCCAGGAGACAAGTGCCTCCAGGTGAGCCAGCAGACAAGTGCCTCCAGGTGGGCCATCAGACAAGTGCCTCCAGGTGGGCCAGGAGACAACTGCCTCCAGGTGGGCCAGCAGACAAGTGCCTCCAGGTGGGCCATCAGACAAGTGCCTCCAGGTGGGCCATCAGACAAGTGCCTCCAGGTGGGCCAGGAGACAAGTGCCTCCAGGTGGGCCAGCAGACAAGTGCCTCCAGGTGAGCCAGGAGACAAGTGCCTCCAGGTGGACCAGGAGACAAGTGCCTCCAGGTGGGCCAGCAGACATGCCTCCAGGTGGGCCACAGACAAGTGCCTCCAGGTGGGCCAGCAGACAAGTGCCTCCAGGTGGGCCAGCAGACAAGTGCCTCCAGGTGGGCCAGGAGACAAGTGCCTCCAGGTGGGCCAGCAGACAAGTGCCTCCAGGTGGGCCAGCAGACAAGTGCCTCCAGGTGGGCCAGGAGACAAGTGCCTCCAGGTGGGCCAGGAGACAAGTGCCTCCAGGTGAGCCAGCAGACAAGTGCCTCCAGGTGGGCCATCAGACAAGTGCCTCCAGGTGGGCCAGGAGACAAGTGCCTCCAGGTGGGCCAGCAGACATGCCTCCAGGTGGGCCAGCAGACAAGTGCCTCCAGGTGGGCCAGCAGACAAGTGCCTCCAGCTGGGCCAGCAGACAAGTGCCTCCAGGTGGGCCAGCAGACAAGTGCCTCCAGGTGGGCCAGCAGACAAGTGCCTCCAGGTGGGCCAGCAGACAAGTGCCTCCAGGTGGGCCAGCAGACAAGTGCCTCCAGGTGGGCCAGGAGACAAGTGCCTCCAGGTGGACCAGGAGACAAGGGCCTCCAGGTGGGCCAGCAGACAAGTGCCTCCAGGTGGGCCAGCAGACAAGTGCCTCCAGGTGGGCCAGGAGACAAGTGCCTCCAGGTGGACCAGGAGACAAGGGCCTCCAGGTGGGCCAGCAGACAAGTGCCTCCAGGTGGGGCCAGCAGACAAGTGCCTCCAGGTGGGCCAGCAGACAAGTGCCTCCAGGTGGGCCAGGAGACAAGTGCCTCCAGGTGGACCAGGAGACAAGGGCCTCCAGGTGGGCCAGCAGACAAGGGCCTCCAGGTGGGCCAGCAGACAAGTGCCTCCAGGTGGGCCAGCAGACAAGTGCCTCCAGGTGGGCCAGGAGAGAAGTGCCTCCAGGTTGGCCAGCAGACAAGGGCCTCCAGGTGGGCCAGCAGACAAGTGCCTCCAGGTGGGCCAGGAGACAAGTGCCTCCAGGTGGACCAGGAGGCAAGGGCCTCCAGGTGGGCCAGCAGACAAGTGCCTCCAGGTGGGCCAGCAGACAAGTGCCTCCAGGTGGGCCAGCAGACATGCCTCCAGGTTGGCCATCAGACAAGTGCCTCCAGGTGGGCCAGGAGACAAGTGCCTCCAGGTGGGCCAGCAAGGAATTAGTGCCTCAATTTACACAAGTGATCTTAGCACTCCAAATTATATTTTCCCTTTTTTAAGGGCAATTCATGAATAAATAAGATGTGCAAAAGTAATTAAGATACAGTCAAAGAAAGCAGACATGATAATGATATGGTGTAGCAATGGGTGTCCATGTGGCGGAGGAGTGTAATTTTCTCCCTATTACAGTTGAGAAACGTCTTAAGTAGCATCATTAGTCCTTGGCACTCAAGGGGGGGGAGGGGAAACACTTGAGTGTGTTGAATGTGTTGTTTAGGTTTGTCTCTCGTTGGACTCTGTGGGATTGTCTCTTTGTAAACTGATATAATTAGAATTGTATTGATGCTGATTATATATTTCTTTGTAACACTTAGTGTTATGCTTTGTGTGTGTGTGTGTGGGTGTGTTGTGTGGTGTGTGTGTGGTGTGTGTGTGTGTGTGTGTGTGTGTGTGTGTGTGTGTGGTGTGTGTGTGTGTGTTGTGTGTGGTGTGTGTGTGTGTGTGTGTGTTGAGTGTGAGTGTGAGTGTGTGTGTGAGTGTGAGTGTGGGAGTGTGTGTGTGTGTGTGTGTGTGTGTGTGTGTGTGTGTGTGTGTGTGTGTGTGTGTGGTGTGTGTGTGTGTGTTTACTAGTTGTGTTTTTGCGGGGGTTGAGCTTTGCTCTTTCGGCCCGCCTCTCAACTGTCAATCACTGTTTACTAACTAACTACTAACTTACTAACTACTTTTTTTTCCCACACCACACACACACACACACACCAGGAAGCAGCCCGTGACAGCTGACTAACTCCCAGATACCTATTTACTGCTAGGTAACAGGGGCATTCAGGGTGAAAGAAACTTTGCCCATTTGTTTCTGCCTCGTGCGGGAATCGAACCCGCGCCACAGAATTACGAGTCCTGCGCGCTATCCACCAGGCTACGAGGCCGCCCCGTGTGTGTGAGTGTGTGTGTGTGTGGTGTGTGTGTGTGTGTGTGTGTGTGTGTGTGTGTGTGTGTGTGTGTTGTGTGTGTGTGTGTGTGTGTGTGTGTGTGTGTGTGTGTGTTGTGTGTTGTGTGTGGTGTGTGTGTGTGGTGTGTGTGTGAGTGTGTGTGAGTGTGTGTGTGTGTGTGTGTTGTGTGTGTGTGTGTGTGTGTGTGTGTGTGTGTGTGTGTGTGTGTGTGTGTGTGGTGTGTGTGTGTGAGTGTGTGTGTGTGTTACTCCCTTATCCACTGGAGCACCTTCTCTTTTACTTCTACCTGTTGCTCCAGCTTTTTTAACAGCCTTTTATGGGGTACTGTGTCAAAGGCTTTCTAGCAGTCCAGGAAAATGCAGTCGGCCCACCCTTCTCTTTCCTGCCTAATTTTTGTTGCCTGGTCAAAGAATTCTTTTAAACCTGTGAAGCACGATTTACCATCTCTGAACCCATGTTGGTGGTGCGTTACAAAGTTATTTCCCTCCAGATGCTCTACGAGCCTTTTCCTCGCGATCTTCTCCATCATTTTGCATGGTATACAAGTTAAGGAAACTGGCCTGTAGTTCAGTGCCTCTTGCCTGTCACCCTTCTTGTATATTGGGACTACGTTAGCTGTCTTCCAACTTTCTGGTAAGTCTCCTGTTTCCAGTGACCTGTTATACACCATCGAGAGTGGCACACTTAGTGCTTCTGCACCTTCCTTTAGTATCCATGGGGAGATTCTGTTAGGCCCAACAGCCTTTGTCACATTCAGCTCTAGCAGACACCTTTTGACCTCATTACTGGTGAGATCAAATTCCTCCAAGGTTGCTTGGTTTGCCGCCTCCTCATTTAGTGCAGGGGCTTCTCCTTGTTCTATTGTGAAGACCTCCTGGAATCTCTTGTTGAGTTCTTCACACACCTCCTTGTCATTCTCTGTGTATCTGTTCTCCCCCTTTCTGCAGCTTCATCACTTGTTCCTTCACTGCTGTTTTCCTCCTGGCTGTGGCTGTGGAGCAGCTTTGGTTGGGTATTGGCTTTACTCGCGATGTCATTTTCAAACTGTCTCTCTGCTTCCCTCCTCACTCTGAGGTACTCATTCCTGGCCCTCTGGTATCTCTCCCTGCTCTCTGGTGTTCTGTTATTTTCTGTAGTTTCTCCATGTTTTTTTACTCAGTTGCTTCGCTACCTTACATTCCTGGTTGAACCATGGGTTTTTCTGTTTTTTTCTCCTTTTGGACGGAGATAAACCTGTCTGAAGCGTGTGTGTGTGTGTGTGTGTGTGTGTGTGTGTGTGTGTGTGTGTGTGTGTGTTGTATGTGTGTGTGTGTGTGTGTGTGGTGTGTGTGTGTGTGTTGCGTGCGCGTGTGTGGGTGGGTGGGCGGGCGTGGGGCGGCCCGTGACCACATAAACACCACACACTATAATTACATAACAATAGGGGACCCGTCGACCATCAAACAATAAATTATACAAGCATGACCCTCCTTGTCTCGAAACTATCCTCGTAGTAATCCAAATTATTTGTAACAAAAAATACCCGTAGGTGTTACCAGATGACCAAAACCTCTCTTTTGGTACGTTCAGGGAGGAAGTCCCCTGGAGGTAATGACTTCAAAACTGCTCTGAAATTGGTTTTATTATCTACTCCCTATCCATTAATAGGTAAAGTTATGTTTCGTTATGTTTGGTTATGTTAATATGGAATATTATTATGCTAAATGTGAAATATGGAATTCGAAAATTATTTGAGTGTGCCCTTAAATTCCATTTCCCAAAAATCAAATTCTTCTGACTCTTTTAAAGAAAATAAGTTTAGCATATACTTTATATATTTTTTTAAACCAACTCTTTATAATACAATTAAGCTATAACTTGAGAATATTCTCTGTTTAGGGCAAATGTTCACTTGCCAATTTTCAAGTTGACTATTATTGGAACCGCAATATGCTTTCAGACCATCACAAATATCTAGATAACCAATTGGTTCGACAAGTCTCGATCTAATGGATTTGTTTCTAAAACTGGCTGAGTTGATTTAAAAAAATCTTGAACGTTTTGTTTAATATTATTATTAAATCGTACGTTTTCGTGGGGTTGATTGCACAACCGTCCTCTCATCTAATACGGTACATTGCTAACGGAATTGACCAATCCGTTACGAATGCGACATACTTGTCAAAATTAAACCACCATAATATTGACGTTTTCTGTGCATCAGTTAGTTGGGTTACATGGATTCATAAGCTCTGTTTACATGAACAAATCCACAAGGGCCGTGACGAGGATTCGAACCTACGTCCGAGAGCATCCCAGACACTGCCTTAATCGACTGAGCTACGACATGGTCAAAAGTTACGACATAAGTGATTTCTGTTTACATATTATTTAAGTCCCCGAGAATTAGAATCTTATTACTAGCTTGTCATTGGTGGAGAAGGAAGACGGCGAGGATTAGCACGAGGAGAAGTAAGAGAAGTGTTGCAGTAAAGATGAGAAATAATGAGAAGATAGAACTAGTGACACCTGCTGTTTCAATTTGCCCTGAACAGAGAATGTTCTCAAGTTATAGCTTAATTGTATTATAAATCGTTGCTTATAATAAGCTTTTCAGAATGACAATGAATTTAAGAAAAGGAATTTGGCGGTGATTAATGACATTAAAAGTATAAAAACACACAATTCTTGCAAGTTTATTGGGATTTACATTTGTAAATTGTCAAACTGATAGCAAAAAGCACTAGATGGGTATACAGCATTGTTTAAGCTGCCGATAACCTCAGCATACACTGCCTCAGAGTCTGGAATATTAATAGTGTTTGGCCTCGAAAGATTTTGTGTTTGTTCATTGTGTGTTTGTTTAACAACCACGATGGCCTGAGCTGGTCGCCGGGGTCCCTGCCTGAGCTGGTCGCCGGGGTCCCTGCCTGAGCTGGTCGCCGGGGTCCCTGCCGAGCTGGTCGCCGGGGTCCCTGCCTGAGCTGGTCGCCGGGGTCCCTGCCTGAGCTGGTCGCCGGGGTCCCTGCCTGAGCTGGTCGCCGGGGTCCCTGCCGAGCTGGTCGCCGGGGTCCCTGCCTGAGCTGGTCGCCGGGGTCCCTGCCTGAGCTGGTCGCCGGGGTCCTGCCTGAGCTGGTCGCCGGGGTCCCTGCCGAGCTGGTCGCCGGGGTCCCTGCCTGAGCTGGTCGCCGGGTCCCTGCCTGAGCTGGTCGCCGGGGTCCCTGCCTGAGCTGGTCGCCGGGGTCCCTGCCGAGCTGGTCGCCGGGGGCTGAGCTCCCTGCCTGAGCTGGTCGCCGGGGTCCCTGCCTGAGCTGGTCGCCGGGGTCCCTGCCTGAGCTGGTCGCCGGGGTCCCTGCCTGAGCTGGTCGCCGGGTCCCTGCCTGAGCTGGTCGCCGGGGTCCCTGCCTGAGCTGGTCGCCGGGGTCCCTGCCTGAGCTGGTCGCCGGGGTCCCTGCCGAGCTGGTCGCCGGGGTCCCTGCCTGAGCTGGTCGCCGGGGTCCCTGCCTGAGCTGGTCGCCGGGGTCCCTGCCTGAGCTGGTCGCCGGGGTCCCTGCCTGAGCTGGTCGCCGGGGTCCCTGCCTGAGCTGGTCGCCGGGGTCCCTGCCTGAGCTGGTCGCCGGGGTCCCTGCCTGAGCTGGTCGCCGGGGTCCCTGCCTGAGCTGGTCGCCGGGTCCCTGCCGAGCTGGTCGCCGGGGTCCCTGCCTGAGCTGGTCGCCGGGGTCCCTGCCTGAGCTGGTCGCCGGGGTCCCTGCCTGAGCTGGTCGCCGGGGTCCCTGCCTGAGCTGGTCGCCGGGGTCCCTGCCTGAGCTGGTCGCCGGGGTCCCTGCCTGAGCTGGTCGCCGGGGTCCCTGCCTGAGCTGGTCGCCGGGGTCCCTGCCGAGCTGGTCGCCGGGGTCCCTGCCTGAGCTGGTCGCCGGGGTCCCTGCCTGAGCTGGTCGCCGGGGTCCCTGCCGAGCTGGTCGCCGGGGTCCCTGCGACGGACCGGAACGTCGTCGTCCCTTCACCTTCTAGTGTGTGGTCTGGTCAACATTATTATTATTATTGTTAGTACTTATTTTCTTAATTGCTAACAAACGTTAACTTATCATCTCTATTTAACATTCATTTGTGAATTACCAAATTTAATATTA